GATTACGACTTTGAGTTGAAGTACCATCCTGGCAAGGCCAATGTGGTAGCTGATGCTTTGACCGGAAACCCGGGAGCTCATCCAGTTTGTTACTTGGTAACTTTGATGTGGTTGAGAAGTTTCGAAACCTGGAAGTGACCGCTCCGAGTGGGAGTGCACTTCTCGAGATGGAAGCAGCAGACATCATGAATGAGCTGTTAGAAAAGATCAAAGAGGCACAGATTCAGAGAGAGTGTCTGGATTATGTGAAGAACCAAGACGATGTGTCTTGGAAAGATGAAGGACTTCTTTTGTTTCAACAGAGGATCGTGGTTCCTCGAGGTCTGTTGACCGATGAGGTTATGGCAGAGGCCCATAAGGGCCAGTTTTCTATCCACCATGGTGCTACTAAAATGTATCAAGACTTGAAGAAGAACTTCTGGTGGCCGGGCATGAAGAAAGATGTGGCTGTTTTTGTGTCTAAGTGTTTGGTTTGCCAGAAGGTGAAGATCGAGCATCAGAAACCATCCGGTGAGCTTCAACCTCTTGAAGTACCGCAGTGGAAGTGGGAATGTATTTTCATGGACTTCGTGGTGGGATTGCCGAAGACTCAGGCGGGTCATGACTCTATCTGGGTCATTGTGGATAGACTAACGAAGTCTGCCCATTTTCTTCCAGTGAAGGTGAGCTTCACTACAGAGCAGTTGGCCAAGCTTTATGTTCGCGAGATTGTGAGGCTTCACGGGGTGCCCGAGAGTATCATCAGTGATAGGGACTCGAAGTTCACATCTCGGTTCTGGGAGGCACTGCAGGAGGCTTTTGGTACGCAGTTGAGATTGAGTACCGCCTATCACCCTCAGACTGATGGACAGACTGAGAGGACCATCCAGACCTTGGAGGACATGTTGCGGGCTTGCACGTTAGAGCAGGGCTCGGCATGGGATAGGTGCCTTCCGTTGGTTGAGTTTTCGTATAACAACAACTTTCATGCTAGCCTGGGCATGGCGCCCTATGAAGCACTGTATGGTAGGAGGTGTTGGACTACTACCTGCTGGTCTGAGGTTGGAGACAAGGAGCTTTTTGGCTTGGACTTTGTCCAAGATACCACCCAGCAGATCCTGTTGATCAGAGAAAAGTTGAAGCAGGCGCAGAATCCCCAGAAGAGCTACTATGTTGTCAAGCATCGTCCACTGGAGTTCAGTGACGGTGAGCACGTGTTTGTGAGACTTTCACCTGTCACCGGTGTTGGTCGGGCACTCGGAGTGAGGAAGCTGAGCCTGCAATATATTGGGCCATACCAGATTCTTGGTAGAGTAGGACCTATTGCCTACCGGCTTGCCTTGCCTCCGAATTTGGCCACCATCCACGACGTGTTTCACGTGTCTCAGCTTCAGAATTACATAGCAGATCCTTCGCACGTGGTGCAACCTGATGACGTGGAGGTTCAGGAGAACCTAAAGACTCCCGTCGGACCACTCAAGATCCTCGATCGTGGCGAGAAGCAGCTGAGGAGCAAGGTTGTAATAACCCAAAAATCTTGTACTCGAAATTAGCCTAATGAAATGAAATGAAAAAGGATCAAGTCCATATTCAGTGAACGAGTAGCTTTGACTAAGCAACATTAGTCCTAAGCTAGAACACACTTTAAATAAGATAATTAATAACTTAGCCAATGTGGGTTAAAGCCCAAATAAAGTTAAAGCCCAACCTACTAAGAATATGACTAAGTTAAAGGATTTAAGCCCAAAGCAATGCAAGGCCATTTTATAAGAAATGGCCCAATTAGTATCTAGACCAAGATCCAAGCCCACACCACCTAGCCTTGACCCAATTACAAATGGTCCAACACTTATTAACTTAATGGGCCAAGACACTCACCAAGCCCAACCCAATTCAAAGGAACAACCCTAGATGAGGTGTCATCACATGATTGGAGGAATTTGAATGAGCTCCACCTCCCCTACAATGGCAAACTCGGCCATGACAAGAAGAAAAGGGAGTGGTGTTGCTTTCCACACTTCCTAAGCGCCACTTAAGGAAGGAATGGACAAGTAAGAGCTTGAGTAAGACACACTCCAAGCCTTAACCATGCATGTGATTTCCTTTCTCCAAAAGCAACTCTACTTTCCATACCCACCTTGGATGACGTAAAATGATGGAGAAAGGAAGATTGCTTCTTCCACACTCCAAGCCTTAACCATGCATGTGATCTTCTCCAAAAAGCAACTCACCTTTTCTCCTTACACAACTTGGAGGGCGCACTCATGACAAGGAAAAGGGAAACTTTCTTCTTACACACTCAAGCCATGCATGCCATCTTACAAGGTCAAATCTTCCTCCTCCCTAGGCATACACGGTCACCAAGGGAAGTCACATGACCAAATCCCTCTCACTCCTCACGGCCACATCACTCAAGGAGCCAAGAAACCCTAGTGCAAATTCACACTCAAACCCTCCTTGAATCAAGTGCCACGTGGAACACATGCATCACCTCTCCTCCTTACACATTCGGCCATCAACAAAGAACAAGGAAAGATTGTTCACACTCCACACCCAAACACCATTCACCACCAATGCATGTTGATAACTTCCCCCACATTCATAAGTTACACTCAAGTACCCTTCACCCAATGCATGTAGATAGCTTTCTATACACTCACAAGTCATAACCTAATATCTCAAGGAAATGATTGCAAGACTTGAATAAAAGATCCAGCAAGGAGCTTCCTCCTCCCCCCTAAGGCCGCGAAGCACCAAGCAACAAGATAAAGGACTTCTTCCTTCTCCTTATTCCCTTAACTTCGACCATCTCTCTCCTCATCAAGCCCAGCAAGTAAACACTCAAACACTTCATCTCCTTTACTCTTAAGCTCGGCCATAACAAGTACTAGGACCTAAGATCACCTTAAAAATTTTCTAAGCTCTTCAAACTCTCTTTCCATCACCCACATAGGTAAGGTAAAAGCTTCATCTCATTTTCGTTTGGAAGAAACTAGAGATCTCTAAGTTCCCACTCTCTTCGTGTAGAGAGAAACCAAGAGGTTGTTGGAAGCCACGCCCAACCCTAGAGGACTCCTTGAAGATCAAGTTGGAGTTATATTTTAGACATCATCTTTGAGGTAAGATTTCATGAGCCCTTCATCCCTTCAAGTGAGTAGAATGAACTCTAACTAATTTATATGACTAGATCTTGGACTAATAAAGCCATGCATGCATCTTTCATCTTTAAATCACCTCTTAAGTATATCATCTCTAAGTGGCCGAACCTCAATGGTATGCATGCACCCTCTAAATATTCACAATATTTACTAAGCAACCTAACCCTAAATGGCCGAATATATATGTACCCTACTAGATATTGAATATGTTCTTTAAGGTAATATGAAAAGTGTTGAAGTAAATGTTTTTAAACAACATGTAGGAAAGCATTACTTGAAGAATCACCACCTAAATGGCATTAACCCTAAATGGCCGAACTTGATGAGTATTAAACCCATGAACATGTTATCAAAATTATCCCTAGGTATGCACCCTCTAAATGGCCGAACCCTAATAAGCCTAAAAGGGAAATATGTGAATGTTTTCTTAATACCATGATGTATGGCCGAAATGTATGCCATAGAATATGACTTATGCATGAAAACAATTAGTAAAAATTATCTCCTAGGCATTTTCATCCTTAGAGAGCCGAACCTATGACATGAAGGATATTAAAGTTTAGATCTTTTAATTTTAGAACCATGTACTAAGGTTGAATATGTGACTAGGACAAACCAAAGCTTGAAAAGAGATCCAAGATACTAGGACCTTCAGTTGGCCGAATCCACCACCTACGGGAAGAATTTACAAAGCGAGAAAGAGTAAGTGATTTATGGTTGTTGAAGCGGCTACCCTATGGTTGCCACCCCTTTAAGTTAAAGTGAGGTTTGACTGCAATATGTTATATGATGCATTACATGATATGTTTGGTTGTTTGGAACTAAGTTTTGTAAGATGGCCTGTGCACTAATACCACAGAGGCAACCTGACGAGGACCCTGGGTATTCGTCCATAAGACCATGGAGAGTAATTGCCATGGCAGGATTGGTATGATGATATGAAAGCATGATTATTTTCCAAACGATGTTTCCAATGTTTTGCCATTCTATTATTGTACATGTTATTATGTGACTATTGCAGCAGTAAGCTTCATGGTTTGGAGGTTGCTCCAAATGTGAGTCCTTACTGAGACCCCCAATCTCACCCCTCTTTGGGGAAACCCACTTTCAGGAAAAAAATGACTAAATGGGTAAGGCAGGGAAAGAGGTTGATATGAGTTGAAGAGGAACCTGCTCAGCCACGTGCAGTTCATGATGACTCCAAGCTATTGGAGAAATTTATGAACTTACTATCGGAAGGAAAGCTTTTGGAGGCAGACTATATTATATCTGCTTTAGCTGGGCCCATGTGGCTTGAAGATGCACCTTACTAAGGGTGTACCTAAATTCTAATTTGGGATGACTGTAATAGACTATGCCACTTAGACTATTTTGAACATTTTATATGCGTTTGAAGTACGATATTTTGGGATGTTTATGTTTTATGGACTATGAATTGAGTAGGAAAGATTAAGTAACATCAGCCACTATCCGCATAAGACACTTAAGTAACTACCTACTGGATAGTAGTCAACACTAAAATTATGATCATGTAAGTGAGCCCCTAAAATAGCGCATAAGTATAAGCAGGGTAACCAAGTAGAGATTAACTTATAAGTAGGCCGTAGACAGAGAAATAGAGAAACTCATGACTAGACGAATAGATAAGATAGGGAAAAGAATGAAATTAATTCCCATTAGTAAATTTTAAGTTAACCACGCTTAAGTACATGGATTCCGCGCATTGAATGTCAAGCAATGTTACACCTTTGATGACCTTATTAAGGGTGTTACATTTTTATGGTATCAGAGCAAATTTCTGATCTTTAGGATGAGAATTACGCTCTAACTCCATTATTTTACCTGTAACATATGTGCAGCACTATGCCTCCACGTAGGGTACCTACTCGCAGTAACCCGCAAGGACCCGAGGACATACAAGGCCAGATTAACACCTTACGGGACACCATTACCCAGATGCAGACTAATGCAGGGGAAATGTTTCAGAATATTTTGAATGAAATCAGGCGCCACCCTCACAACGCGACCAATAATAATAACGTCGCAAGTGGCTTAGGCACTGGAGGAGCCGGTAGTGGTGGACCCCAACCGCTGCCAGAACATGGAGCGGCTGGCCGAAATAATCAAGATCTGTTGCTGACGTTTAGGAAGCACAAGCCGCCCTCCTTTCAAGGAGGACACGATCCAATAGTAGCTGTGCAGTGGCTACAAGCCATGGACAAAATATTCAGAGCGGTTCAATGCACCGATGATCAAAAGGTGCTGTTCTCAGTGTATATGTTCAAAGGAGACGCCCATCATTGGTGGGCTAATGCGTCCCAACCCTTGGTGATGCAAAATGTGGCAATTTCGTGGGCCATGTTCGAAGAAATGTTCTTGGAGAAGTATTTCCCGATGTCAATCCGGGTTAGCAAGCAAGGCGAGATTGATCGACTCGTGCAAGGAAGCATGACGGTGGATCAGTATCATGCTAAATTCAACGAACTACTCCGACTGGCAACTTACCGAGGAACTATGCCCATGCCAGACTTTCTGGCAACAAAATTTCAAAGGGGTTTATCCGCTAGGATTGCGGAACTGGTAGCTGGCAACGACCCCTGTGACCTAGCCCCCCTGGTGAACAGATGTAGAAAGGTGGAAGCAATAGGATTGCAAGCAAGGAAGCCTGCAGAGACCAGCGGATCTGGAACCAAAGCTCCGATGGCTAAGAATGGACAATGGAGAGGAAAATGCGGAGGCAGACCGTGGAAGCCTAGGCATGATGGTAACAAGTTCAAGAGGCCCGGGAATCCTCGAGGAAATGGAAACAGGGCTCCTAATTGCCCCAAATGTAAGAAGGCCCATTTCGGCAACTGTTTGAATGGGTCGACACAATGTTACAAGTGCGGCCAAGAAGGACACTTCATCAAAGATTGTCCACAATGGGGAGAACAACAGACAGCCGCTGAGGCGCCAAGAGTGGGCAGAGTTTATACGTTGGATCAACATGTGGCGGACCAGGCGGCCGAACTAGTTAAAGGTACGATCAATATATGTGATGAAGAACTATCTGTTTTATTTGACTCTGGTGCGACCAATTCCTTCATTGCTGATTATGTGGGAAAAGCCTTTAACCTAACTATGAGCCCAATGCAATCCCCTATGCAAGTCACCTCTGCGACGGGGGAAGTGACAGTGTCTCACTTCATGTGTAGAAGTGTAGAATTCAGATACAAAGGAAAGAAGTACAACCAAGACTTCATAATCCTCCCCTTAGCCAAACTGAACCTGATTTTGGGAATGGATTGGCTGGCCAAACAACACGTACTAATTGATTGTAGCAGCCGAAGTATAATAGTCGGCGGGGACATGATGGGGACTCCACTCCCCAATACTCCACCAGTCGAATCAGGAGATTGCACTTTCATGCTAATAGCCGGTCTAGTAGGTGCGAGCGAGATACCGTTGATGAACATTCCCGTGGTCAAAGAATTCGAGGATGTATTTCCTGACGACATTACCACCTTTCCCCCTGAAAGGGAAGTGGAGTTTTCTATTGAACTTATTCTCGGGACTGGACCAATCTCAATTGCACCCTACCGTATGTCTCCCCTTGAATTGGTAGAATTGAAGAAGCAATTAGAAGACCTGCTAGGGAAGAATTTAATCTGACCCAGTGTATCCCCGTGGGGAGCACCAGTTCTATTCGTAAAGAAGAAGGACAGATCAATGAGACTTTGCACAGGCTATCGGCAACTCAACAAGGTGACTGTCAAGAACAAATACCCATTGCCTCGTATCGAGGACTTAATTGATCAGTTAAGAGGTGCAAAGGTGTTTTCGAAGATTGATCTTCGATCGGGATATCATCAGATCCGGATCAAACCGGAGGACATCCCGAAGACAGCTTTCAGATCAAGATACGGGCACTATGAGTACTTGGTCATTCCCTTCGGATTGACTAATGCCCCGGCAGTATTCATGAGCTACATGAACCAGATCTTCCAACCTTACTTGGATCGATTCATGGTCGTATTCATCGATGACATACTGATATACTCGAAGAGAAAAGAGGAGCATGAAGAACACTTGAGAATTGTGCTACAAGTATTGCAGGAGAAACAACTGTATGCGAAACCATCAAAGTGTGAATTCTGGTTGCCAGAGATTCAGTTTCTTGGACATGTAATCTCAGAGAAAGGAGTAGCAGTGGATCCCAGCAAGATTGAAGCAGTAGTGGATTGGGAACGACCAAAGACTGTCATAGAGATAAGGAGCTTCCTTGGACTAGTAGGATACTATCGGAGATTCATTGAAGGATTCTCGAAGTGGGTATTGCCACTTACCCGATTG